CACTACTTCTTAAGTATACCAAGCATAGATTTTTCGTATTTTGGTAATTCCAACTCGAGCTCAATGCTTCCACCTTTTTCCCCAAAAACTCTTCCCAGTGATTCTCTTCCCTAAATTTGATAAACTGGCAATTTTCGATAACAGATCGCGAAAGATCGGTGCCAGCTAGAAAACGATCGATTAATTGATTGATGATTGAGCTGCGGGATGACCATCTGCTCGATATAATAATCCATCGAACCATATACAGCATTGCCGCAGCTGGCGTAGAATTAGATGCAACACAACACGCACATAGGCAATCACATAGAGGCTCGATGAGATGGAGGGGTTACGCACTAATTCACATAATTTCGCATCAATTTTTTGAACCAATAGCTAAAAGTAAGTGCAACACTTTTGAAAATGATTCAGTTTAACAATTTAACTTAGCAGAACCAAATCAATTTTATTTCCAGAGTGAATGACAAAAAACAAAAGTAATGACTGATCACTCTCAAATTTAGGATTCTTTAAGACATGAATTGAGTCTCATCCCTATTTTTTTATGCGTAGCAACCTAACTCTTTTTCAAAAATAGAGATGAAAAAGGAGATTATATCCGCCGGCGGCACCCGAGATCAGCAACGGATTATTAATACTAACAATAAAAATTTCATATAAGCCAAGCAATGAAATAAAGTTGTTTACTTTCAGAAACTAAAGTTGTAGCCTTAACGCGCTTAGAATACCCAGAAACCACGACAAATTTGGTGCTTTCAAAGATACTATAAGATAGTCAATCACCTAGATAAAGATCACCAACTAACATTAAAAAAATCAGGATGATAATTCAAAAAAAAGAAAGAATAGGACAAGGATGAACATCGATATTATTCACGGTTTTGCGATTGACTACCTGCAATCAAACGCCGATTTTGAAGTTAGCGTTATTTTTAAGTAGAAGAGGAATACCAAGCGAATTTTTTTGTTTGATATAAGTACTTGACATACAGGAAGGATTTTTGCAAGTGAGAAAGTGAAAGGAACTAACTACACAGTGCAAACAACAAGAAAACTTCTCAAAATGAATCAAAATTAGATCAATCTCATGTCCTTAAAATTAGAAAAATATCAGCGGAGATAAGATGAAACCCAAGCAATAATGACTGCAGTACTACATAAATAATTAAAGAGAATAGCAACTACTTTAAAAAGGCAGAAATAGAAAAATGAGAGATAAAGAGTTAGACTTTTGAAATTTCCTGGAAATTGATACTTCCGAAACTAGAGAAAATGAGAGTTTAAACAAACAATCTCGTATTCCAAGACAATAAAAATAGAGAGTTTCCAAGAACAAGAAGAAAGATACAAAGTATGAGTTGAGAAAATCAGAGATGGGAACACCGGTAGATGCTTTGAAAAAGGAACCTTTCACAGCACTTTGCTAGAAATGAAGACTTTAGTTTTCAAAATGAAAGCGAAAGCTACTGGGATATATCGCAGAACAAAAGGTAAAGCACCCCACCTTGTCAGTATTTTGTCGATACTTGTTACTTTCTTCAACTAATTTTTTACGGCCTTCTTCTGCTTCATCCTGTCGTGTGCCAATCGCTTTTATCTCACCATCGACGCGGAGCTAGAAGGCAGATTTATCGAAAAGCAAAAGAGCAATCAGACTTCAGGTTATTAAAGAAGTGATTCGCATTTTTAAAGAAAGGTTTCAAAATTACCTGAACATTCTCCCATGAAACATTTTTCCAACTTCTTACGTAGCTCTCCATATTACGCTGCTCTACCAAAGCATCACACTTTCTGTAGAAAACCACTGTCGAAAGTAAACATGAATTTTAGCTAATTCGGCACATAAACATACAGAAAGTGGATACTTCTAGGACTTGAGCCAAGAAAAACAATTGCGGAAAACACTTGGAAGCAACTTTATAAAAAGGTTTCAATTTGGACTTGCCTTGCCTCGTACAAATCTACAACAACATCGATAATACCCTATATTCTACACAAATTATCATCTACTAAATCAGTGCAAACAAAAAATCTTTAGCTCTCAGCGATGTTGTATCTCCAATCGTTGTACTTCCTGTAATCGTTTCGTAAATGGTAGTCGTCTGGCAGCTCTGCTAGCACTTTGGCTGCCTCTGCCTTGTAGTCACGAACTTTCACTTCTGCAATGTTCATTTTAAGGAATTCCACAGATATATTTCACAAAATCCTCAAAAGAACACTTACCTGGAGCTGGATGTTTGCTCTCGTATACATGTAACTTGCTAAAGTAACCCATTTTTGGGCGAGTCAGGTGGAGCTTCTCCTCGACACATGCGTCAAGAACTTTTTGTTCATCGTGGCACCTATATCACAAACTAAAATGATTCTGAAGAAGGACAAGTTTTGTAAGCATAAGATTCTTGAAGAAGCTAAACTCAAAAATCATGCCAAGTTTAGAAAGCCGGATGACTAAGAAAATCTGTGGAAGTCAAAGTGCAACCAAAAATGTTCCATCTATTGTGCAAATCGTCAGGAAAAGCAAATATTATAAAAAGTAGTTAATAATGGTATGTTTTTGTGCCTTAGGCAACCCAAGTGAAAAAAAGTTTTCCTACTAAAAGAACCATTGTAACAGCGATAAAAATTTGGTGGGATAACGCAAGAGATGTTGGCAAGAAAGCTGTGAAGTTGAAAACCCAAGAACGATAGAATGAAATTTGGATATTAACAGGGGTGATGACATAGAAAAATTAGTCGATATAAATCGAAATCAATTGCGCAAAGGACGAAAGAACAAGCCCCATACCCAATTTCTGAGAAAGATAAAATACTAGACAAAATGTCAGAGCGCAAGCGTTAACGAAGTGTGACATGAGAAAGCAGGACTTGGAAGAAACATATAGCCCTTA